CTGTATATTGTCCTGAGCAAAGAATTTATTACCAAGATCTCAAAAGCAAATGCAACAAAAACAAAAATAAATAAATGGTACTTAATTAAACTAAAAAGCTTCTGTCCAGCAAAAGAAATAATCAACAGAGTATAGACATCCTACAGGGAGAAAATATTTGCAGACTATGCATTAGACAAAGGACTAATATCCAGAATCTACAAGGAACTCAAACTACTCAATACAAAAAAACCAAATGACCCCATTAAAACCTGGACAAAGGACATAAACAGACATTTTTTTCCGAAGAAGACATACAAATGCCCAAAATATATGAAAAAATGCTCAATATTACTAATAATCAGAGAAATGCATATTAAAACCATTATGGGATACCATATTACACCAATCAGAATGGTTATTATTTAAAATAATAGATACTGGCAAGGATGCAGAGTTGGTGGAAATGTAAATTAGTACAATCTCGATGGAAAACAGTATGGAGATTTCTCAAAGAACTGAAAGTAGAACTACTATTTGATCCAGCAATCCCACTACTGAGTGTTACCCAAAGGAAAAGAAATCATTATATGCAAGGATATCAGCATTCAAATGTTTATCATAGCACTAGTCACAATAACACAGGTATGGAATCAATTTAAGTGTTCATAATGGATAACTGGATAATAAAAATATGGCATATATCCACCATGGAATCCTATTCAGCCATAAAAAGAATGGAATTGCGTCTTTTGTAGCATCATGGTTGGAACTGGAGGCCACCGTCATAAGTGAAATAATTCAGAAACAAAAAGTTAAATACCTCATGTTCTCACTTCTAAGTGAGAGCTACATAATGTGTACACATGGACATAGAGAGTGGAATATTAAGCACTGAGGACTGGAAAGGGTGAGGGATGAGAAATTACCTAATAGGTCCTATGTACACTAGTACAAGTGATGATTACACAGAAAGCCCAGCCTTCACCACTACCCAATATACCCATGTAACAAAACTACTCTTTTACTCCTAAATCTATAAAATAATAATTAAAAAAAGAAAAATGAGTTTTTCCTTTGAATGTTGATTTACAATTCACCAGACATTCTAACGCATCTCACCATGCTATGTAATTCATAATGACGCCGGGAGGTAGGCAGACACTGCTGTGTTTCTTTTCACAGCTGAGAATCTGAGGGTCCTAAAGTTAAACAATGGTTCACAGGGCTAATCACTCAGAACTTCAGGCTCCTAATCCAGTGCTTTCCCACAGGGGTTAGCCTTGATCTTCATTGAGTGAGGTTAGTAAAGAACATCTAACATATAATGTTAAGGATCTTACCATAAATGACTCTATCAATAAGAAGATCCCACAACCAGAACCAGATTTGGGAGTTTGACTGTAATGGAAAACAAATCAGCTTTAAAGATAGATGATCTAACCAGTGAATGTAGGTAGGAAACCAAGCCAGGTTCTTTTCCCAAGTGATGCTGAATCAAAGGGAACCAACAAAATCAAATGCACACTCACTTGAATTCCAGCCTTATTCTGGCATCATTTGGGGTAACACAATTCTTGCTGTTTAGAAGTTCCTGGAAATTTTACAGTTCAACATATGCTCATTATCTACGCTCAGAAAAAATTAATGGAGAAGCAAACAGATAACTGAATTTTTAAAAAATGTATCTTTTTATTTTCCCTCACAAACTATGGGCAACCACATTTAAGGAGGAAAGAAGATGTCTATTGCTCAAGTTAGACTTGAGTAAGGACAGGAAATTGCATCTTTTAAAATAGATAAGATTTCCCATCATATAAACATAATAATAGCCTTCTATCATTTCCGTTAACATTTATATTACCTAAAATAAACTCTCATCCTGATGTTGTTCTATAATTGGCATGTGACAGAGTACACATTGAAGCAAATATAAGTTCAGAAAGCTTCCTCTTTCTTTAAAAGAAATCTTCAGACTTTCCTAAACAGACAAACTTTATTTTGTTGCTATGCAACTGACATGCAACATAGTCCATCAGACAGTAAATAAATTATGGATTTTACAATGAAGAGAAAAGTCTTTTCTCTCTGTTTGAGAACAAGCCACAACTTCCTTTCATGCTATCCTAATCCACCACAGCCTTCTAAAGCTGTTTCACAAACGCCAATGGTTTGGCAAGATAAACAAGCGAATGAATAACACAGCAATGACCCAAATGTAGTTTGCAAACTGCACGCTAAGAAGCATCAATACCATTCAATTTGTTCCTACAAGCCCAGGAACCTGTGCTCCCCAGGCCTGGTAGAGAGAAGAAAGTTTATTTCACATTCACATTCTTCCAGGTAGCAAACTATAAGCAAGCTTAAATACAGGAGATTCTGACAATTTCTGTTGGCAAGCACCCTTCGCTGGTACAGGTCTCGGGCATGATTCTGCATCAGGGCATAAGAGTGATTTTAGACATGAGGGAAACATCTGTGAGGATAAGACATTGCAGAGATTGAAAAGTTATAGCATGTGGCCCACACCCGTGTTTAACATGACCTGTTCAATGTTCAAAACATTAAATATTTGCCACCATTATAAACCTTCACATAAAAATCTAGATGTTGTGCCTTTTATGAAAAGTACTAAAATAACACTGAGTTTGCATTTTCCCCCAAATCAGTTAGAAACCGCTAACAGTAGAAAAACTGGAAACAACCCAAACATCAAACAATAGAAGAGAAAGATAAATTGTATTATATTCCTATAATGGATTACTACATTTATTTATTTTTCTTCAACAACATAAATGGATTTTTCTTCAACAACATAAATGGATTTCACATGTGTTAAGCAAAAGAAACCAAATACCAAAGCATATACTACATTGTTCCACATATATGAAGTTCAAGACCAGTCAAAACCAATCAATGACAATGAAAGTTAGCACAGGTTTACTTCTGGTGGAGGAGGTACTTGGAGGAATGATGGAAAAATGTTCTATATTTTGATTTTGGTGATAGTCATATGGGTGTATATGTAAAGTTTATCCACCTATGCACACAGGTTTGAGCACTCTACACACCTCACTGGATGCCTTTTATACTTCAATAAGAAATGAAATTTAACAAAAAGAATCAGCTGGCTAAGGCGCATCTGGCCTTTCAAGGTGAGGCATGGCCTCTGCCCATAGCCCACACCCAACAGCTGGCTCATTCGGCTGGCTGGTTCAGAATCTATGGGGGTGGGGCCCAGCAATCTGTTTCAACAAGCCCTCCAGGTAATTCTGGTACACTCTTACAGTTCGAGAAACACTACTCTAGAGCACTATATACATTAAATAACATACAAGAAAAGCAGACTCAGCCTATATTAAACCATTTGTTCCTATTACTGCTCCTCAACATATTTCAAGAAACTCAGAAACAGAAGAGTCCACTGGCTTCCTCAAAGTACTTCTACCAAGTGTAAGTACTCCTGGGAAGGGGATGTGCAAACAACACACCTTCATTCTGCTTTTAACCATTGAATACCTTTGATTTTAGTATTGTTACAACTACATGCATGCCACTCATTAAAAACAAAAGTAAATACAAACAATTGTATATCTTTCTGATTGCAGGTAAAACAATCAGACAGAAAGCATTCAGATACATTCCAACTCTGAAGAAATAAATGAAAATCTACCTTGGGGGAGGTATGATGGCTCAGGAGAATCACAAAAATGAAAAATTCATAAATTAAGACCAGTAATCCCCATTCTCATTGTAATTTGTATAAAACTTACATAAAACACCATGTGTAGATATTTATTTTCTGGGAAGTTATCAACTTTTTTAGCAAGCTACCACCCAGCCACACACTATGATGTAGCCAAAATGGATATGTTGTGCCAACAGCAAAGTCGTTTCTGAATCGGTTGGGGGAATCAAAAGGTGCTTATTGTATACCTATTCATTGATTAATATTAATTAGAAAAGCATAAAACAATCACATGATATGATAATGATATTTCCTCTGTGCATTTGGAGAAAAAGTTAAGGGATAACTATTTTTCTTCTTTTCAGACTTAGATATAATTTCAAAAAGAAAATATATGTTTGTGTCCATGTTAGTATTTAGGAATGCCCTAGAATTTAGAAGGAAAGAGAGAGATCTGAGAATAAAGGAACATAATAATAATAAAATAAACCGTTAAAAAACACACTTTAAAGTGGTGATTCTCTTAATTGTTTCACTCGGTATTTGAACAACCAGAGAAGTGATGAGAAATCCAACTTCAGAATTATTTTGCCTATGAATTTGACCTCCAATTTTCAAATGTTTGGTTTGGGAATAAATCTGAAAGCCACATATCCAGGGCTTCATGGGCAGTCAACAGGGCTCCACACTTAGAAACGGGCCTCAGGCTTGGGGTTTGATGTGCTGTGGTTGTTGGCTTGAAATTCTTAAATAATTTTTTTATCACTGAGTTTGTGTTTTATAAGTGGAGCTCAATTTGACAATAGAACCTGTGCTGGGGGTTTGGAGCCTAGCATCACACATTGTCCCATCTGCCACCTCCTCACATCCCCTGAGTGAGCCCTTAGCTACTGGCCCCTGCTCAGTGATGTTGTCTCTCCCCCCCTGGCATGGTTCTGGGCATGGGCACAGGTAGAGTTGAGGCAAGTCGCAGGGCAATACACCAGGCACCTGGGAGGGTACACTCTTGCCCTTTGGATTTCCCCATACCCACAGAAGCGTGACATGAAATAGCAAATAAAAGGCATCATAACAGGTTGAGAGAAAAACTGTGGAAAGACAGAAAAGGGTGTTGTCCTGCTTTCTGAACAAGGGGGCACACATTTTCATTTAGCATAGCCCTCACACATTATGTAGCTGTCCCTTCATGGGCTACCAGCTAGAAAGAAACAAAAAAGAAAAGGAACAAGGAGGTATAGGAGAATTAATGGGATATGCAGAAGGAGAATGGGGAGGCAATTAGGATTTAGACATTAAATGGCTGAATTCCATATTTTTACAAATGGACTAGATATATTCTTTGCAAAACAATCCTTTATTTCTTTCTGATTAAGAAGCAATATATATCATAAAACAGTCAGACATTGAAGATGTGATTGGAAAGCTACATTCAAAGAAGTATCACAAATCACCACCATCCATTCTAGTTCCATCCAGTGATACCTTCTCCATGGTGTGAACCAGGCACTTGCAACACTTTGAACCTGAGCTTACAATTTAAGAACCACTGCCATAAAGAAGTCTAAACACAATGCCGGTTAACACACAGTGAGATCGTTATCTTTTTACCTAAGCATTCACTACCTCCAATTTTACCAAAGGCTATCTTTTGTTTTCCAGCACTTTAGCCTGCCAGGGGATGACGTTGTCTAAACACATTTTCAATGTTTTCTTTTTAACAGTTAATATATTTCCAGGATGCAAGTCCATTTCTTTCTAAAAGGTTCCTAGGACACCCATTGAAAAGTCAAAAGCAATGAACTAAAAGGGATTGCTATTTTGTGGGAGAAGAACGACACCCTTTGTATTGAAGTGGGGAATTACAGCCTGTGGTCACCCTCTGCACAGTGTCTCTTTGTCAAGTAATACATGCTGAAAAAAAAAATAATACAGATGGGAAAATATTGTGCACTGTCAGATCTTGGAAACGGCCAAAGGATTTTTCCTCACCAATGTCTTGTCGATGACTTTCACATTCTGGCACCCTGAAAAAATAATGCATACATTTAATATGAAATGAATGCAATAATAATCAGGCAGGTAATCATTTTCCCAAGGAATGTAAAATTTGACAAATGTAAGGTTTATGATTCAAGGTAGGCTTGCCAAATCTTATGTGGCATGAGACCATTTTTATTACCTAAACAGCCCTTAACACAAAATGACTGGCACATATTTTTATTAACACAAAGAGTATATTCTTTCTGCCACATTTAATAGAGAGTCAGTGGCTGAAAGCTCTCTTTTAGGATATGTCTGTAGCAAATTAAAATGCGTAGTGAGGATTCACAGAATGGCATTCTTCTCACTGAGGCTCTGTTTGCACGGGCCCCGCACAGTAGTGAGTAGACCATTTATCTCGGGAGTTCTATCTACGCAGACAATCCGGATCATAGGGATTATAGAAAAGGAAACCCTCTTTACCTTCAAAAATAGGGTAGCTGATAATTAACTCAATGCCATTCTTTGCAGCTAGAGGTTCATTCTGAGTAAAATTCAAAATATTCACTAGCAATAATGGCACAGCTGATTTATTTTTTTTTTGACAAATATTTATTGTTTGTGTGCCAGGCACTGCGTTAGGCACTGGAAATACTGGAGTGAAGGCAACAAAGAAAGGCATCTTACATTTTAAAGCAAAGACAGATAATACATAATGTATATATAATTTAAAAGATAAATTATATGATAGATGATATATAGAAGATGATAAGTGCTATGGACAAAGAATGAAATAAAATAGAGAAAGAAACTGAAAATTGAATAGCTGAGTGGAGGAATGATTGCTATTAGATAGTCAGTGTGAGCCCCTTTGACAAGGAACCTACAATACATGCAAAAGCTTGAAGGACATGGGGAAGTTACTCATGTAGCTATGAAGCGTGGGGAAGAGCATCCAGGCTGAGGGAACAGAGAATGCAAAAGCCCCAAGGCTGAAACATGTCTGGTATAGTCATGGGAATTCAAGGAGGCACATGTGGCCTGGGGGTGGGGAGTGGGGAGGGAGGAGGAACGGTGACAGTAGCAGGAGTTGCAATCAGAAAAATAACTGGGCTCAAACCACAGATGGCCTTGTAAACCAGTGCAAGGACTATGTCATTTACTCCGAGTAACCAAGAGCCATGGGAGGGCTCTGATCAGAAGAGTAACATGATCTGAATTCATGTTTAAAAGGCTCATTCTGGCTGCCATGATCAGAATAGATCCAGGAGACAGGAGGCAGGCAAGAACAGAGGGGCAGACCCACGTTATCCACAGGAAGAGAGCTAATGATGGCTCCAGTGTGGTCAGATTCTGATTATATTTTGAAGACAGAGCCCCTGTGGATGTAAGGGTGTGAGAGCAAAGCAGAATCAAGAATGACTCAAGATTTTCCACCTGAGTGACTGAAACTACAGGCTTCACCTGATCAGAGACTGGAGAGCCTACAGGTGGAGCAGGTTGAATGGAGAATGTTACCAGCTTACGTTTGAAAAGGTCAAGTTGGAGACACCACTTAGACATCCAAGTGAGGTGTTGATTAGCAGTAAGATTTATGAGTTCATGTGTTGTGAGATGAGAAAGAGCATGATGTAGCATCTACCCTTAAGTACTTCTACTCACCAAAATATTCCTAATATGGCTATCAAAGATAGAGGCTAAGTGACTGCTCATAGATGTGCACATTGTAGAGTTTCTTAGTTCAAAAGAGCTCTGCACTGGAGCTATAAATACAGAGTCAACTTCAAATTTAATATGCCCCAAAGGATTCCATCCTCTTCCCTTTTCAATTCACTTTTCTCCAGCAAGGAGCCTAACTTACAGACCACAGAAGAAAAAGAAAGTTGTAAATGAGAATGACGAGCTTACCACTCAGAGCCATGGCCAACCGGAATTCCTCCTTTAGTATCTCAAGGACACCTTGGACACCTTTCTCTCCCTAACCAAGTAAAAGATAAAGAACTATTGGGTAAGTCAGCCGGACTTGTTTCATTCATTTGTTTCACTGTCCAATCATCCTGTTTTATACATTTATCTTTGTCTACTTACCTGGAAAGCCAAGCCCCATATGATCGGTCTCCCCACAAACACAGCCCTGGCACCCAGGGCCAGAGCCTTCAGAACATCAGTGCCTTTCCGCACACCCCCATCCAGGAAGACTTCCACCTTCCCATCCACAGCCTCCACAATTTCTGGCAGAGCATCAATCTGGGGAGAGAAGAGGTCAATACTGTAACACTATTAACATTGAATTGTTACTCAACTCTACCTCCTACACCACTGATGCATCTAACTAGTGCCTGGAGTTGAAGAAATTAAGTGGGTTTGGTGTCTGCAATAGAATTATTTCCTTCTGAAAGAAGAAAAGGTACAAAGGCTAGCACTAAAAAAAAACAAAAAACAAAAAAAGAAAAACTAAATTTGGAATTGAGTGGCTTATGTTTCTTTCAAAGTCCAGTCCAAGGAATGTTTTTTCTGTTCCTGATATTCAAATTCAAAGATCATAGTCAAAAAAATTAGAAACATAATTTTAAAACACTCTATCTTTTATAGCAATTTTTATAAAATGCATAAAAATAAATGAAGTATCTTGTTGATATAAATTATTCTTAACATTACTCATTGCAAATCAATTGTTAAGATTCATACTCAGAAAATAGTACAAGCAGTGATGTACAAAAAATGCAAACACAGCTAGTAATAAAAAACTTAGACTCTGACTTCCTCATCCAGTATACTTTGTATCCAGCCATATGTTAGAGAACTCTCTGCGAAAATACTTTTTTTGCTTTATTTTTTGTTTCATTTCAACGTATTAAGGGGGTATAAGTGTTTTTGGTTACACGGATCGCTTTTGTAATGCCTTGAATCACAGCTATAAGTGTACCCATCACTCAAATAGTGTTCATTGTACCAATTAGTTAGGTTTTTGACCCTTTCCTCTTCACCCCTTCCCCCCTTCCCCCCCCCAACCCCGGCTTAATTTCTTCTAAGTTTTACATTCCTCTGTGCACAAGTGGGCTCATCATTAGTTCCACATGTGGTGTTTGTTTTTCCATTCTTGTGACACTTCACTTAGAATAATGGTCTCTAGTTCCATCCAAACTGTTGTGAAAGGCATTAATCCATCCCTTTTATGGCTGAGTAGTACTCCACGATATGTGTGTGTATGTGTATCAAATTTTGTTAATCCACTCATGAATTGATGGGCACAGGTTGATTCAACATCTTTGCAATTGTGATGTGATAAACCTTTGGAGGCATGTGTCTTTTTTTATAAAATGACTTTTTTTCCCTTTGGGTAGATATCCAGTAATGGGTTGATGGACTGAATGGTAGGTCAACTTTTAGTTCTCTGAGGATTCTCTGTATTGTTTTCCATAAAGATTGTACTAATTTGCAGTCCCACCAACAGTGTGACTACATGCACCTTGAAGATCTTGGTCTTCATTGACAATTGATGATGGGCTCAGGTTAGCACTAGAGAATCAACATCCTCATAGAGGTGGATTTGGTGGATTGCATTATTGTTCCTGATCCTTCACACATCTCAAAATCCACTCCCTTTCCAAGGCGACTTCACGGTTTCTCCCACTAACAGAAACAGAGCACATTTGCCCATTCCTTGGCTTTGACCTTGACCATGCCACCCACTTTGGCCAATAATATGTGAGCAGAGATGGCAGAATGCCATTTCTGAGCATGAGCCTTAAGCAACCTCATATATTTCTATTTATTCTTTTGCAACTTGCCACTTGCCATGAGAAGAGCATCCTCTAGGTAATGTTTCCTCTCCAGCTTGGGCCCAGGATAAATATTTAGGAAACACAGCTATCAAAGCCAAATGCAGCTGGACCTGAAACTTGGAGCACAGCCACCTAGCTAGCACCAAGCCTAGATCAGTAGACACTAGCTGACACAAACTTTCATGGGCATAAATGATTACTGATTTAAATCACTGAATTTGGGATCGTTTGTTTTATAGCATCATGTGGCAGTTGGTGACACAATTGGCTACTTTGATGTAGATCTTTGCATTTGAGAACAGAAACAATTCACAAGGTAACCTATATAGATCAAAATCTGTAGAAATGATCCACATTCATCCCAAAATGTTAAAATATAAAATTAAGTCTAGTTCCCATTTAAAATGTATACAGAAGAAGCTACCATACAATCGAGTACACTTTTTCCAGAAATAATTATGCTGAAATCACTCAAAGGCTTTCCCACTTCAGCTCTAAAATTTTAGAGGCTAAACTTAAAGAGAGTTTTATGTAAAAGGCTAAAGACCAAACACAAGTACAGATTTAGAGGAAGTGAAGGCAACACTTGGCATGTGCCCCTAAATGTTTGGCAGGTAATGTGATTTTCCCCTTTTCCTTTTGGCTTCTCTGCCTTGCCAAACATGCTTTGGATCCATTTACATATGTCCCTTTACCTATACATAGTCCTCTTTTTACATTCAGGCAAGTTACATCAACATATAAATGCTACAATTTCCAAGCTATGATGCAAGCTATAATTAAGCATATTTCCCCATTTGAAACCAGAACCAAAGAAAAATATTAGGTAGCTTCGGTTCAATACACGTTTTCAAAGTCAGGCAAATCAAGTCTGTTTAGGTTATTTCCAATGCCTCACCTGACCTAAAAAGTAAACTAAAAGGATACTTAAAATGTGAATCCTGGATTGAAACACAGAGTCCAGGTTGGTGTTTCATAGGTCCATGGACAAGATCTTTTATCCACTGCTGAACATTTCTATCCTTCCCTTTTTCTTTCAGGGGCTACAGTGTTAGTAGGCATATGTTATGCAAAATAATTCTGATCAGAACAGATTAAATAAATATAGTAGACAAATCCATCACTTTATGGCTCTGTTTCTGTTTCCTTCTTTTCAGTTTGCTACATGTCTGTGAGATCATTCATTTCAGTTGTTATTTCTTTCTTTAGTGCTTCTTTAGAAAACTCATTAAACTCCGATGGAGTTAATCTTCAGAAAATATGGTAAGATCCTTATGTAGTGTGGCTCCTCTGTCGCTCTATTCACAGATTTATCAAACACTTGGTTGAGGGCCTGATATATTTAAGGCACTAATGCCAAGCAGGTTCAGGGACATGAGAAGAATCTCACAGCGATCTGACTCTCAAAGGGAATCCTCTCTCTCCTTCCTGTTGAAGTCACCCTCTTCCAGGATGCATTCCCACCCCCACCCCTAAACAAAATTTATACTCACAGGAAATTCTCACCTTTCCACCATCTCATAGCACCCATTGGTATACTCTTGATTCCTGACATTTTAGGTATGCAAACCTTTGTGTGAATGAAAGCAGTTAAACATAAACCAAAGCAGATAAATAAACAGAGCTGCTTAGCGAAGAATGAAGGAGACAGAGTCCGAAACACTGTTCATAAATCCTCCCCGGACTCTATCCCACCCCACCCATCTCACTTCACTAGGCAGACCTGGGGTGGTTTCTACTAAGCACACTTAGAAAAATCACTGGTTCATATACATTTAGCTGATTGTTTGCAATGGCAATCTTCATTTCCTCATAGCATCACCGGAGAGGGGTGTGTCGTGTAAGGGAGGAGGGTTCTGTTCCTTATTCCTGGAAGCTGAATTTGGTATGTGCCTTGCTTCCACCAATAGAATGTGAGAGAAGTGACAATGTGTCAGTCTCAAGAGGCCTTGCATACTTCTGCTCATGCTCTAGGAAACATGACACCTAAGAGAACAAGCCCACCTAGGTGCCAGGAGACATGTGACAATGCAGAACTGTCCCTGCTGAGCTCATCCAGCCCTAGCCTCTCCCAGTGGACACAGCAGCTGACTACAGACAGGTATGAGTGAGTCCATCCAAGATCAGAAAATCCCCCAGAAGATCTCAGCCCAAATCGCCAGTGCACAAAATCGCACAATGGATAAATGGCTATTGTTTTTTCAGCCAGTAAGTGTCAGAGCAGTATGTTGCACAGCAAAAGACAACTGAAAATTAAATGTTTCTCAAAGATGGAATTGCATTGAACCCTTTTTATGAAGACAAATAAAATCTCTTATAGCTCACAGAACATGCCAAAGGACTCAATTTGAGAAACAGTGACTGACTTAACAACACAAATGCTTATTTTGTGAAAATGTTTTGCAGTTGGAAATATTCACTGGAAAAGAACATCACATTTTTAAGCTTGAGGTAGTTTAGGTCCAGTTAGCATCCAAATAAAAATGTGAAATTGAACAAAAAAAAATACTGCTAGGATTCAAACACTCCTGAGAATGTCTTTAAACTCTAGTTTGAGAATATCTAGAAATCAATTTGATTCTATCTCATTATTCTCTAATTACTTCAAGGCCAATCTAGGTCACATTATTATCATGAGGACAAAGACCATGACATGATCTTATTTTTTAATTCCTTTTGGGTAGAGCAGAGGCCTGGCAGCAGTTTTCAGAAACTATGTATTAAGATGAACTGAAGTTAAATTCCTATTCTATAACTCTTAATGATAAGTATTTCCCCCATACAATGGAACTCGATGATTTATAGAAAAGGAGAAATCATATAATTCACTTTCTTTTTGAAACCAACACAGCACTTTGAAAAGGCTCAAGCTGAAAAGTCTGACTTGCTCACCTAGCTCTTATCCCTTAAGAGCGGTGAGACAAGGGCTCGAACCCAAGACAGTGCTCTTCCCATGACCTCATGCTGCCTCTGTGGCTCTGACTTATGATGTAACAGAATCTGCCGGACAGTGAGTCTTTCTGTGCAGCTACTGAAAAGCTTCACACCACAGGCTCCCTCAAGCCTTTTGCCACCCACTGCAAAACCCACACGCTGGGGGAAAGACACCCTTCACCATAAACCAAATCTGTTCTCACGTTTCTCTCATCATCGCAAGCCTAAAATTTGCTCTTAAGTGGGAGGCAAAATTCAAGCAAGTATCTCCTCCCATGCATACAGCACGCAAAGGGGAGGGTTATTGTTTTTTTAAAAACAGTCTCAGAGACCACAACTCAAAAAGCCCTTTTAGATGTTTCCATATCCCCTCAGCCAGAGGGAAATAAACCACACCATTTAGATATTTTTCCCTTAAAATTTAGTTAGATTTGATTTCAGTAGATTTATATTTTATTTTTAGAAAACAAACTTAATTTGGCCTGCACACTAAGTCTATGTCTTCATACACAAGTGAGGTATAAATTTGAGAAAAAGCCTTGAGCTGTGACCAACTTCTCCACCCTCCTCAGAGGAGGGCTTCACTTTCCACCTCTATTTACCTGCAGGCAACATTTAATATCACCTGAAAAGACGTGTCTCTGGGAGCAAAGCTGAGTTGGAAAGGGCTGACAACTTCCAGGTTCATGATGTTAAATTCTTGACTATATAATCCTACAGTGGACAAAGACTTGGTTGGTTCTTACCTTTAGTGTTTTAGAAAAAAACTGCATATGTAATATGCATACCCAACATTCCCTGCTTTGCCATAAGACCTACAAAACTGGTCTATGAATGTAGCTAAATCAACCTGCTAGTGAGTTCAATGAAATAATAATCCACTACTACTTGGCTAAATTATTTGTTCTACTCTTCTTCCAGTTGTTCAGATAAATTCAACTGGTCATCCCAATTACAGCCATCCATACAGTAACTATGACTGAATGGTTTTGATAAAAGGGGAGAAATATACACGCACGCGCACACACACACACACATGATGATCCAGTTCAGAGAGAGGTGGTGGTTTGGGAAGTTCATCCACAGTATTTAGTAAGTATATATGTATATATATATATATATTTTTTTTTAAGTTTTGTTATATGATGCTACTTGACTTTGCCTATGTAAATCAAATTATAAAACATTATAGTTTAAAGCCACCAAAGAAATCATCACATTGTGACTTTAAAAGATGAGCAAACCAAGGTTCAGAGTGGAAATCAATTCCCCCGTCCCTCAGTGGTCCAGGCACTCCTTTTTAGTTTCCTTGATGGCTAAATTATGGTAATCATTAAGGCCCCCTAATTGGTCTTCCTGCCTCTTGTCATGCCAAAATCCAATTTAGGAGACTCATTGCTACTAAACCAAGGCTCTTCTGTTGCATAGCCAACAACTCATAGTATTCAAGAATCTCCCCCCTTATCTCTCCAGACAGATGTATTTCCCAGGACTCACTCCCACCAGATACTGCAAACAAAATGAATTGCTTGGTATTCCCCAAGCACATCTCACTCCTTCCTGTTTCACATTTTCTGTTCACACCCCTAAAGACAGGGGTCACATAGGGACAGAGCAGAGGTGAAAGGTAGCTACGGCATCATTGCCTCCTCTACAGGAATCTCGGCCAAATCTCCACAAGGGGAGAGCATGTAAGGGAACCACTTTTAAAACCCACCTATGCTCCCGGCCCCATCCTGGACCCTGGATGCATAAAACCTGTGTCTGTCTCCATGGGCTTTTGATTCACTTCTGGTCCACCAATTCTTGATCATAAAATCTGCCCCAGCACCTCTGCTGGTTTCCTTGGATTTGGGCCTTTTTAGGAGCTAATTGCTCTCCATCACAGTTCTAACTCAGTCCCACAACATCAGGCCAGTTTAGTTCCCTTTTATATCTAGGTTCTGGACCCTGATTTGCCCAGCACAGTGTATGCAAGTGTATAAAAACCATAGATGCTGTAATCTGAGCATTTCGGGAGGCTGACGCGGTTGGATAGCTCAAGGTCAGGAGTTCGAAACCAGCCTGAGCAAGAGTAAGACCCTGTCTCTACTAAAAATAAAAAGAAATTAATTGGACAGCTAAAAACATAAGTAAAAATTAGCCAGGCATGGTGGCACATGCCTGTGGTCCCAGCTACTCGGGAGGCTCAGGCAGGAGGATTGCTTGAGCCCAGGAGATTGAGGTTGCTGTGAGCTAGGCTGATGCCACAGCACTCTAGCCCAGGCAAGAGAGTGAGACTCTGACTCAATAAAAAACCATAGATGCATGTTGGAATCCCCTGGATAACTTTATAAAAATATCAGTGTCTGTGTACGCCACTTCCCTGCCAGAGATCCTGATGAATTGATCTGGGACAGAGCCTGAGCATCAGGATTCTTGAAAGTTCCCCAAGGAATTCCAATGCACAGCCCAGATAGTTCACAACTCAACCAGAGTAGCCTAGTGCAGCCCTATTCTTTCCCTATTGCCACTATCCTCTCTCTGCAGCTTTGCAACCCCCAAATGCACAGGAAATTCCAATCTGTCCCTCCTCCTGACTTCTTGTCACAATTGTACCCTGATCCCAAACTTTACCAAAGCCTTTGGTAAGCCCCCAATTCTGTTAGTTCATCTTCTTTGGACTCCCATGGCATAATTTTTTCTTTCATACTCCAGTTTACATTATGTCTATTGGTGCACCTGTGAATACAAGAATAATCCCTGCCCACAAATGACTTATTTTTTAATAGGGACTTTTATATGTTTAAAAACAAATGTACTGGGCTAACTAAACATAAATATACTAGTTAATTTGGGTAGTTATGCCCTGCCAAACTCAAAATCCAAGATCTCCCATATATTGCAGCTTGAGTGATCACACAAAAATAGACACACACACAAGGCAGACACAGAGATAGAACTGCAATTGAAATGGGAACTACAAACAGAAATCCCAGCGTTTGCTGAAACTCACAGTGGCTGGCACCCCATCGAGTTGTCGAGCCCCATGATTTGACACCAAGATCCCATCCAAACCATGTTTAACTGCCTCCCTGGCGTCATCACCTGGAAAGAGCAAAATAACAAGACGAACACCTTATAGGAACTGCATGTTAACTGAAGACTTGAGTTCAGAGGCCTCTGCATTCCAGACACAGGTACACCTTTCTCAATACTCTTAAGCATAAAAATATACCCCTGCGTTAGATCTAGAATATTAGTGGTAGTTTATTTGGCCATAAAAGTTAGCACTTGTAACAATTTAATTATGAAATAAAATTATCAGCAAATAGTAAATTGACATGAAGTTTAAACATTTATATTTATCTTTATAAGGTCGCTAAGTATTTTTTTTAATTAATATGATCATACCAATTTATCAGTTAGCAGAATCATTCCTCTGCAATACAGATGGCATGAAAGAATATATGAATGGCAAGTACTTTAAGTGTAACAGGCAAGGAACAAATCTATCTCAAAAACATTCTTTAGGCCGGGCGCGGTGGCTCACGCCTGTAATCCTAGCACTCTGGGAGGCCGAGGCGGGCGGATTGCTCGAGGTCAGGAGTTCGAAACCAGCCTGAGCAAGAGCGAGACCCCGTCTCTACTATAAATAGAAAGAAATTAATTGGCCAACTAATAAATATATATAAAAAATTAGCCGGGCATGGTGGCACATGCCTGTAGTCCCAGCTACTTGGGAGGCTGAGGCAGGAGGATTGCTTGAGCCCAGGAGTTTGAGGTTGCTGTGAGCTAGGCTGACGCCACGGCACTCATTCTAGCCTGGGCAACAAAGTGAGACTCTGTCTCAAAAAAAAAAAAAAAAAAATTCTTTAATATGAAGTTGTTATAACTTCAGTAACTATTTTAAGTTATATTGTTCTATAATTGTACTTTGCCCACTGAAATATATAAAAATAATATTAAAATTCTACACTAAATCTATAACCATGTTCCAAAATATATTGAGTTCCAAAAGTTCAATTTTAAAATAGATTAATAGTCTCTTAAATCAACATCCAAAATCTTAAAAAAAATTTATATTCTAAAGTATTATTTTCACCATGCTCCCAGTAATAAACCATTTGCTAATAGAATCATGAAAACAACACTAGTTCTCAAGTTTATCACTCAAAATGCAATACTATGTAAAACCAACAGGTTCAAGTTTACAGTAAAAATCAAACTTTGGAAACTTAAGCAAATGCATACAGAATATTGTACATATCTATAAATTCAGCAATGGAGATCAAAGCAGACTTGAGGAAGAATAATTTAGAAATTTATGGAGGAAAACCTGTAATTCTTATTGTTTTTAAAATTTCATGTTAAAATACCATTTTCCAAACTGTGTTTCATGGAATATTGGTTTTGAAATATTCCCATTTAAAAAAATGATGATAATAATAATTTTCTTCTAAAATAATTGCTATATGAAAATGCTAAACCTATGTGTTATGGACTATCTGTATCCTCCCAAAATTCCTATGTTGAAGCCCTAACCACCAACATGATGGTATCTGGAAATGGGATCTTTGGGAGGTAATTGGAATTAGATGAGTTCATGAGGGTGAGCCTCTCATGGTGGGGTTCATACCCTTATAAGAAGAGATACTATATAGCACGCTCTTTCTCTCTCTGTGTGTGTTTTCACAAAGAAGAAATTATGTGCGCATACAGAGAGAAGGCAGCAGTCTGCAATCCAGGAGAAGAGCCCTCACCAGACACTGTCTCTGCTGGCACCGTGAGCCCAAACTTCCAGGCTTCAGAACAGTGAGAAAACACAGTTCTGTTGCTTAAGCCACCCAGTCTATGGTATTTTGTTATGGCAGCCTGAACTAACTAAGACACCATAATCTATTATTATCTGTACTACTATTTGAGAATCCCCATTTAAGGAATGCCACAACAAATTCTAAAATGCAATGAAATGGTATGAAAGATTATCTGATAAATGAATTGCCAGCGTGTACCCACTGCTTTGTATTTCATCTATTTGTTTGTAGCCTGGTGTTTTGTTATACATTTTGTTATAGGTTCCATATGTAGTTGGCAATCTATATTTATTTTATATTGAATATAAGGGCTAATGTTCCCATGAGACTGTTTTGGCTGTCTGTTTTAATCCAAGCATGCATTACATTTTGTGAAATCTCATTGGTAACTTTTGAGCCATTCATGGGGAAAAGGCCCAAGCCTCTAGATTGAAAGATGACTTTTTCTCCCACCCCATTAATTGCTTAATACATTATATTTTATTGTTATTTCATATTTTATAACACATGTTTTATAACACGGCTTTCTTTTCCTGGATTTCTAATTGCCTTTTCTTTTCTTTTCTTTTCCATTCATTGTGAGACTTTTGAATATCCTCAAATTCTTCAAATATTTCTATCTTATTCACTCTAACCTATCTAACCTATTTAAGTTATCGTATTTTATTCCTAGGGACAAACCCTTGGAGCCCTCTCCCCTCCTGCTCTGCTCTCTTGCAGCTACTCTCAATACCTACTGTCTACCTTCATCTTATAGGATTGCTCCTGTTCTCTCTGGATTGAATATTTTGTAGCCTGACACATGCCCTCATTTGGTTTCTGTTACCATTCATTTGTAGTACATTCTTTTGTAACTTCCTAGAAAAGAATCCCAAAGAGGTGAACTTATAGAGCACTTGAATAGCTCCTCCTGTGTTTGAACGATAACTGGATTGGATAGAACATTCTGTTTTCCTCCGAACCTTAAAGATGTTACTCCATTGTCTTCTCACAGCCACTGAGGTTGTGAAGTCTACTGCTGCCAGTTTGACTCACATTCCTTTATAAGTAAAATGTTTTATGTTTATTTTTTCTCTTTATACACATTATGTTTCTGAAATTTCATAAGGAATGTGATAAATTGTAATTCGTTTTCTCAGTCTAATAACCTATATCAGCAGTATTCATATATTTCTAGTCTTTAACAATTGCCTCCCTGTCTCTTTCTTTTGTGTTCTGCCTGAAACCCTATCAGATGGATACTGGACATGTTAAAGTTGTCTTCATGTTCCTCATTCATTTACTCATATTCCCTTTCCATTTATCTTGTTGTTGATGTTTTACATTTGGGGAAATGTCATTAACTTCACTGTTCAACCATTCAATCATTTCATTTTTAACTTCAGAAATCATGTCTTTAATCTTTGAGAGCTCCTTTTTATCCTCCAATTTTCCTTTTTAAAGAAATCAGAAGTCATATTTTCCCAGTGTCAATCATTGGAATCTCTTTTTTATATTCTAATTTTCTTTTCATGGCAGACTCTTCTTGTTTACATATAATATATTTTCTACATCTTTGAGACAATCATCTGGATTTTTTTAAAGTTCTTTTCTCTTTTTTATCTCTTTTTTGGGGGATCAGCTTTTCTATAGATTTGTCTTGTTTTTTTTATGTTTTGGTGTTTCTGATATGACTTATGATGCTAAATTTTCCATTTAATATTTAAGGAAGAAAAGGGTTGAGAAGCTGCAATAAGATTCCTGGGCTGTTTTGTCAATCAGTTTCATGCCTGCCAACTCTTTGCCTGGAGTGGAAATTCCATGTGGGAAAAGGCAGGAAATGTCAACTAAGAGGGGATTGGGCTGTGAGGTACTCAAGTGTTAGAATGAGGACAGCATCATGTCATATTGGAAATGCCACCCACCCTCATGTCATCCCAGCCATCCATTCATTTCTTTAGAAAGGATCATGCTGCTTCCTTATTGAGTACTGACCACCAGGTTGCCCCTTGTTTCCAAAGCAGTGGGATGGGAAAGGATTGCTGGTTGTAGAAAATTTCCCAAACAGATTTTCTATTAATCCTACTGCTTTCATTCTCCACCCCCCACCCTCTTCCACTTGCAGACTACACCCTGAGCCTCTCAGGTACTGCATTATATAATCTGCCCTTGCCTCCTCTATGGTTCTCCAAGAGCCCATCTTAACATTCAGTTTTCTTTGCATTTTCCTCCTATCAACATACTCCCATGCATTTTGTTTCTTTCATAAATTCTTCAAAACTTCTCTCCTGGTTGTGCCCCTCATTTGCCTTTGCTTTGCTGTCATTGGCTTAAATATATTTGAATTTCTGTGCTTTAATTTTAGTGTGGTCTTCAGTTTGATAAGAGGGTATCCATGAATTCAGCCTATCATTTTGAAACAAAAGCCGTATACATTATCATTTACAACATATTTGAAGAATGTCTCTTTAAATGTATGGCCTTAATGCACTGCTGTCCAATAGAAATTTCTGTGATGATAAAATTTTCTAGATCTGTGCAGTTCCATACAGTGCTTACTAGCCATATGTAGCCATTGAGTAATTGAAATGTGGCGGTATTACTAAGAAACTGGAATTTTGCCCTTATTTAATTTTGATTAACTTATATAGCCACATGTGGCTTGTGGCTGCCATATTGTACAGCTCAGCTTCAGTGTTTATTTACATGAGCTTATCTATTCTAATAAAGACACGTAGTATGATATTTTTTTAAAACTAAATACACCCATAAATAACCTTAATAAACAATATAAAATTATATCCTGAATTGGTGTTGTTATCTCTGGTTATCTAGTTGCATGCATGATTCTAAACATCAAGTCAAATGTTAAAAAAAATATCTTTAGTATGGTATTTATGAATCCCATAACTGAGCATGTGTGCAGTCCTCCAATTTATATTTGGATGTCTGCCACTATATAGCTGCAATCTGCATTTTGAGAAATCAAATATTATCAATAAATAAATCCTATACAGTATGAAGTGATTAACTGCTTAGGGTTAAGTCATCAGACTGCCTGGACTTAAATCCCACATTTGCTGTTTGCTTACTGTGCAAGCCGCAAGTTACTTAACTTGCGCATCATTGTTCTAAACCATAAAATGAGGATAATATTAATAATACACATAAAATAAGCATGTGGATTAAATAAATTGGATAATTGTTTAGAAAGTGCCTAACACATGTCGAGTACTAAGATAAATATTAACTATTATTATTATTATTTTCCTCTGACGGTGCAGGTGGTATAAATAAGAAGAGGAGTAGGTA